GCTTTTCCCAAGCCCAACCTATTTCATTCAAATCCCCAATACATAACCAATGAATCCTCTTCACAGCAGCAATGTTTAGAAGTTATTGCCAAAAACTCTTTCTATCTACCCATCTGGAAGGAGCATACATAAACGTAACAAGCCACAAATTGGATACATTACCTTACGAGATTAAACACTTTATCAAGTTGGGAGATTTCTGTCGAACTTGAAGATCCACCTCATCAGTCTACCATAGAGCCAGTCCCCCTGAGCACCCCACTGGATCAACATAGCAGCTATATGAGAAGTGAGTTATGTGTCTAATCCGCTCTAGCGTGGCTTGCTTATTTTTTTGTCTCCATTAGAAATATTATTGTAAGGCGATGAGTATAACACAACCCTCGAAGGATTTGGATTGTCAAGGGTCACCCCACCCCCTGACAATTACACCTAATCATCAGCATTGACTGTGTGGCTATTTGAGGACAGCCACTGGCCCTAGAAAGGTATCGACCCCCACGCCTTCCCCCTTCTCAGTTGTATCGGGATAAGTACTGGGCACTTTAGGTTCGAAAGAATTTGACTCAGACCATTGGATTAACAACAATAGAGCACACAGACCCGTCATTCCTCAAAGCCAACTGTTCTTAGACCTCAACATCAAATACATCACACTCCCGATGAGTTACTTCTAGTCACCCTCTATGCCTCCCTTTACATCGGTTTTTTGGACGAAGACCGACCACAAAAAAAGCATTGTAGCCCCAAATTCAAAAAGGACTAGTTGCTGAGCTACCATCTCCAACAGAGGATTTGTGTCCCCTTCTTTTAAGAGTTTAATGTGTCGAACTAGAATCTTCTGGGGCTTTCCTTTTTAAGGATGGTTTTGGTAGTCACCAAGGATCGTTAGTACTATATTGTGTGATTGAGATTTATTGGCAAGTCACATTAGAAAAATTGATGTGACTTGCTAGTAAATCTCAACCACACAATATAATACTCTAGAAAATTTTAAAGAAAAATCACTCCAGAGGATCCTTGATAGTGCTCTTGACATACACAGATCCATAAAATATGGCGGGCCGAACAACTGGGGCAAAGGGCTAGGATTTTAGTATAAACTTACTATTTCAGTAAAAAAAAGGGCTCATCTGCTCGATGGACTGGACTTGGAGGGCTATCTTCCCTTGGGCTATCTGGTGGTTCATCCACAAAATAAGTGGGTCGAACAATATTAGGATGAGGCCGCCCAAGCAAACTTGGAATTAAAAGACTGGTTTGGTGCATTTCAGTCAGCCCAACACTATTACAAAATGATTTTGAATTATAGGTCATGCGAGTGGTTTGTGGATAAGGATGTGTGGGGCTAATAGTTAGGACGCGTGGCTACTGCAAGGTGATTGCCTCCAGAGATGTACGCCTCCAGAGATGTACGCGGTGCAGTTCGAACGATTTGAAAGTAAAATTATAAATTGAATGTCAGATTAATAAATTAACGGATTGATAAATTACAGTTTGGGTAATTTTTGACGAATTGACAGATTGAAGAATATTTTAACTAATTATCATATATTTACATAATATATAATACTAATTTATATAATAATTTTTAGATATATAATACAGTAATTTTATATAATATGTTTTATATATATAACTATTAATTTATAATAAATTTCATATCTTAAATCTCTTTCACACTCATTTTTATATTGATATTTCATTAGAAATTAAAAAATATGTATGTATTAATTATTACGGAGCGAAGAGGTTCGGTTGACGGATTATAAATTTTAAAATTTAAACCACGGTTAGCGATTAGAATGGTACGAATTGATACAAATTAATGCGATTTAAACAGATCGGATCGAGCAGTATTTTACAAAATCCTAATTGCCTCTATGTCTGTCCTTGCTGCTACCAAAGATCGTGTACACATCGTTGTACTGGGGCTAGGAGGACCAGAAAAACCCGAACACGAGCCCTTCGGCTTATTTTGGAAAAATGGTAAAAAGTGACTTTATGGCTTTTAACTAAGCTTTTGGCTTTTTTAAACAAATGATTTGGGAAGTTGATAAAAAGTGACTTTTGAATTTTTTTATTAATGTTTGTTTATGATGTCAAATCATAATAAAATGACCAAACTACCCTCATTTATTTAAAATATTTACGACTTCACCTATGTAACACATTTTGACCCATGAGGGTAAAATTATAATTTCACCGTTGTCTAAAAGCCAACTTCCCAAATGAAAAAAAAGAGAAAAAAGCCAACTTTTGGCTTTTGCTACAAACCAAAAAAAGTGACTTTTAGCCAACTTCCCAAAATAGCCCGAAGTATGGTTGGTTTCATGAAGGTCACGCGCCTCCACGCCGGCAGAAAATGTCTATTGCTGTATATTCCATTGATTCACCAACTGGGAAGGGCTAGTTTCAGAGATGTTGGTCTGCCGATTATGCGAAACATATAGGGAACCTATGTTCCTGGCCACTCTAGCACGAATACTAGGGCCATGTACTGACCTAGCTTCTTTTTCCTTTGAAACAAACTTACAAATCTTCCTATCATGACCAACTCGTCCACAATCATAGCAGAAATCCGAGAGTTTCTCACATTTGAAAGTGATCTAGATGTCAGCTTCCCCTTGCAATTGCTTAAGCCAAAACCCTCTTGGAAAGGGTTCGTGGATATCCACTTCAACTCTAAACCTTAGGTAGCTGCGACTCAAAAAGAGTCCGCCTTGTTGGGCTTCCACCTGAATCAACCTCCCTATACGGTTTTCGAGAATTTCACCGATCTTCTTTGTCATGTGTTGGAAAGGTAGGCCATGGGCTTGAATCCAAAACGGACACCACCGGAAATCCAAGTCCTCAATAGTGATTTCTTTAGAAAGAGGTTTGAGAGCTAATAAGTACCCCATAATCGGCCAAGGGCTCTCATTCAAGATGCGATCTCGATCATCACCATCAGAGAATCGAAATACGAAAGTGTTGTCGTTCAGGGGTATATAGTTAAGGCTCTAGGAAGAATGGAGGATACATCATTTTATTCAGGACTTTTGGGCCTAAAACCTTCCCCATTAAACAGAGGACAGAAACCTCCTTAGCCCTTTCTCCGTCCTCCAAAAGCTCAAGATTGTTATTTTGATTTGATCGAAAAGGTAGGTTATGATTTATTTTTGTGGTAATTATGACTCGTTGTAGTATTGATTATAATCTATTATAATTATTAATTTAATTATAATCAAAAATGTATTTGACTATAATTCAAGTGGTGTTTGATTATGATAATATTTCTTTTAATTATGTCTGAAATGATTTAGTTATGACAACACCACTATAATAACTTGTATATGGTACAAACATCTGATGTATTATAGAAGGAGCAACTTAATAAACATTTATTATACATCTAAGAAATAATTTATTAAAGTAATGATTAAGACTTCCACCCTATTCTCACAAATCTGGACCATTCATGAGGTGAACCCCATACATACATAAGTGACCCCACACATATATGGAGGGCTAAGATCACTTTGGCACCGTTTGGGAAGAAGTTGGCTGGACTTTTTTGGCTATTTTAGCCACAAAAAACAAAATAGGTTATTTTAGCCATAACAAACAAAATATCACATCCAACCCATAATCATTACACTCTTCTCTCACAAAAAAAGTCAAAAAAGTCAAAAAGCCAAAAAACCCTTCCCAAACCAAGCTTTTTAGCCCAGGCTAAAATAGTCAAAAAAGCCAAAAAGCCAAAAAGCCAACACACTTCCCAAACGGAGGCTTTGAGGATATGGGGATCATTTCCAAAGGCGGTCTCAAATATTTTTCAATTTATTAATATAAAAACAAAAACTAGAACAAAAGGAAAAAGATTTTTTATTTTTATTTTTTATTTTGGGTACATGGGAGGCCCTAAGCATAGCACAAGAGAGTGCAAGACTTGCCAGTGACAAAAACTTGAATCATTGACCTCTAAATAAAATGTAATGTATGGGTTCTAACCAATTAAATTAGTCCCAATTAGGTAGAGGTAAATAAATAAATAAGTGGCCACAGAAGTGGCCGAAACTCAAAAAAAAACTTACATTTTTTTTTATTTTTTTTAGTCATATTATAAAATGTTAGTAAGGCTTTGTTTTGCATGTGTTAAAATAGCACATAGCATATTATCTTATATGGATTATGATCATCTTATTTGGATTACATTGTCTGTCTACCACATCATTTTGATTTCACCTTTCATATTTTTTCGTAAAATGTCAAAAAATATACTAATGTATCACTTTCTAAATAACCCCTAAAATTAGTACAACTAGATTATTATAAATCGAAATCACTTCATTGACTCAAACTTGTGACTTTATCCCACTAAGCCTTTTAAATCTATTTTCTAAACCTAATGATATGTAAGCAAAATGATTAACTGATAATTAGAGAATACGGAGGAGAGAAATTGCACATTAGTGTGGATGGTTGGTTGATCATTAAGTTTGAAAGTATATCTTATATTTTAAATTTGAATCGCATATTACTCTGCAAATTAATATAGACCCATGGCAATCCTCTATTTTCTTTTCCTGTCTCCATCTTGTATTTTGTATGATGTCAAATTTATTACCCTATTGTTTTTAGTAAGAACAAAATCAGCACAAAAAATTGGAAACCAAGTTTGCTAAAATAATGTAACAGAGGCCAACGTTGAATGCTTCCAAAGCACCCATAGCAACCCACCAAAATGTCTAATTCCATGTGTGAATGAAACATGGGCTAGAACAAAGCTAGTGACCACTAAATATTATCCATAAATTTATTCACATGTCACATGGTAATAATAATGTTTTCATCATCATTTATTGATTCCCATACAAATCAAAAATTGATATACCAAATTCCATGCCATTAGGAAAATTTTAAAAAGTAATGTTTAGAGAGTCTTGACATTGTGTAAAGTAGAAAGCATATTACACTACTACACGAGAAAGAAAACCCAACAACGCTTGATGAACAAATTCCATAAATCAACCTCAATAAATAACGAAATCAACAAATAAATGTCATGTATTATATGGATCAGAAACAACATTGCTATTCAAATTATTGAATCCAGGACTGGACTAACATCACTCCCATCCCCATTACAACATTTACATAAAAAGTGCAGAGCCTACTAAAAAAAATTGATTAAGCAAAGATAAGTAGACAACAAAGCCCTTAATATGGTTGAGGAACTTAACTGATAACATACAAATCCATTTTCCTCCACGGAAAATGGATCTGGAACACCTACAACCAAGATTCTCGTATAGGGAATATCAGGATTCTTCATCAAAACAAATTTTCCGAACCCTAGAACTCCCCAAGAGTCCAAATAACCAGCCACAACTTCTATGATTATAGTGACGTACAAGAAACACAAATCTCAGCAGCTTGATCCTCACCACCTTCTGAAATAAATAAAAGAAAAAACATGCATTACCTGTCTTGGTTCTCGTCATCTTCTGATATGTCAAACAAGAACTTCGGCAGAGATGTTATCCGAGGTAGACTAAGCAGTAAATCCCCAAACGAGTCCTTCCTCGACATACTTCCAGCTGCATTCTCATGCATTGATTCAGAAGCTTGAATGTGCTTTCGATCATCAAGTCCCTGCAATTGACTTTCACAATCGACCTGCATGTTTGGGGCTGTAGCAGGGTCCTGCAGAAGGCAGCAAAGAGAATTGACTCTCGACATAAGTGTCTTCTCATCAGAAGCTGTTGTAAACTGTGTATCACTCAGCAGGGCCTGTGCAATGTTCTCAAGCATGTCCTGACATTCTAATGCTTCCTTCCGGCATGGTGAATTTCCAGAGGCCATTCGTTCCGAAATACAATGTCCAATGTGGTTCACAAGATCACTCATGGACATGGATTGACGGAGCCCTGGCACTTTTATCTGTTCCCAATCCCGTTGTGCCTGAAGACCATCTCCACCATGACTTCCGTTTGCACGCAAATCCATCACTAAAATATTGTATGGTAGGTAAAATTAGTAACTAATTGAAAGTGAAAATACTTTGTGCGCATGCTGTACAATATGTGACAATACTTAGGTATAAGCTGTAAAAACACAAATTACCCTTGCAATGATGAGTAATTTCTTCATACTAAAACCCTAAGAAGGCGCATAGTTCTAAACATCAGCTTGTAAACAACATGATTGTTCCACTGCATAAAATAATCATTACAACATTTAAGAGAACAGTTACGAAACTCATGGCTTCACTTTCCACATGGTAAATTAAAATCTAGAATCTATAATTTTTGGCTAAAGGGCAATTTTGTTAATCTTCCTTTTCTTTTGTTGAATTTATAGGAGAACTTAGTTGTGGTGTTGAGCTTTATTTTTCTCCAGGTGTATAGAAGTTGCGCAGCTGCACCCCTTCGGCGCCTTCTAATGATATATTTTACATATAAAAGAAAACTGAAATTTCTAGCTGAAAACAATGTTCAAAACTACATTTTCTGATGAATATCAAATGTTCAAAACCAGCCCATTGCTATAAATAAATTTTCGGTTCTGTCCTTTTTCGCTAACATTTACTTGTAGCTTCAATTGTAGTTCATTTACTTATTTATTTTTAATGCTAGATACTCGAAGTTTTCTTCTAATAAAAAATTTTAAAAAAAATTAAAAAAACAAGTATTTGGCCTGAAAAATAACATTTAACACTCCCAAAATGGATATAAAAAGATTCATGTATCAACACATTCAAAACAAATCCCAAGTTCATATTGTACCTGAGCTAGGGGAAGGAGATTCTGGTGACGAATGCTCCGAAGCTATACCAACAGAATTCTGTTCTTCAATCTTCAAGGAGCAAGACTGTGCTGTGGATGGTGATGCCACAACTTGGAAACCAGAGCTCGGAGATCTTTTGGCAGTCTCCAATTGATCAACTTCCTGGACTTCAGATTCGTTTGGATCTTTCAAAACAGAGCCTCGTGCATCGAAATATGGTGAATCTAAAACCATCTCTGGCTGTCGGCTAACAAGATTGAGATGCATATCGCACTGGATTAATTTCTCATAGTGTTTGTTTAACAGGCCTTGTGTGCATTGCAGAAAATGTTGCCTACAAAAACCACAAAGTGTGATTTTCCATCACGTCAGATGTTCAGAGGTTACGAACCCTAGCTACAGACACACCTCTGAAACAAAATTAGAGGGAAAAGAAACAAGTGCATCACACAAATGTGTCAATAACGACAATCTCATGCATATGAAAGAAGGATATCTTTTCAACTAGCAGGTATTGAAGGTGTAAGAGGTGATTACACCATAATTTCGTGGACCCTCTTGTTCCTGATCAAACCCTTGGAGTGGTGGCGAGAAACCTTTCCTGTAGGAGAACAATTGTCCAGTAGAGTTGGGTTGGTTTCATGAATTTGAATTTGAACACCAAAGGACACAACTCCGTGGAAGAGTTGTGCCCATTGATGTCTCACACCCATTCAAACAAGAAGTGTCTATTCCAAAGGGTTGCCACAAAGTGTATATACACGTGGGCATTGAATCTGTTGAGACCAACTTGCATCCCTACTACATCTCTAAAATTGTCTAGCAGAGTTGGGTTGGTTTCATGAATTTGAATTTGAACACCAAAGGACACAAGTTGTGCCTGTTGATGTTTCACACCCATTCAAACAAGAAGTGTCTATTCCAAAGGGTTGCCAGTTGAATCCGTTGAGACCAACTCTCTCTCTCTCTCTCTCTCTCGTGCTAGACAATAATTCTTTTACGTGATTAACACCCTAACAGGATTCCTCTCAACAGCAATCCTTGAATCAAAGTATACTGGATGTATATTTATTAAGGAAGGGGACCGCAACCCAGCAATGAACAATTTTCAAAAAAATAAAATATAAAATATAAATTACTCCCTCCATCCCAATTTATTTGTTCATTATAGAAAATAATCTAACTTACAAATGAGACATGCAATCATTACATTTTAATTCAAATTTTGAAATATTTTTCCCACCATTGCCCTTCTATTTGAATTTTAAAATGTGTTTATAAAGATTTATAAGTGGCAGTTTTGAAAATCTAACAAAATTTAGTATCCCAAAATAGAAAGTGGACAAATATTTTGGTACAGACTAAGGTGGACCAAAAAAATGGGACGGAGGGAGTATTAAAAAGAAGGGGACTAAAATATTTATTAAAAAAAAAAGTCAAGCCTAAGGGTGAGACGAATGATGAATCACACTTTCTGTCAAGTGAATTGAACTTTAGAATGAAAATTTATGCATGCAACATAAAGAAATTGGCATTGATTTGCAGAATCAAACTGTTCTGCAAAGCAGACAAGCTTCATGTGTCCAGCTACAAACAAGAAGTTACATCACAAGTGTTGAGAACAATAATACTCTTGCCACAATAATTATCACTTAGAATAATAAATCCAAGGTACACTACACAGAAAACTTTGCTTCTCTTCACTACATCAAATATATAAGTATCATGAAGAATAAAAATGATTTAAATAAGTAAAATAATGCCACTAAATTTTACCTGTGCATAATGGCTTGTCCATCGGTAAAATCTGCAGTTGCCTGCCATAAGGTGTGCTTTCTAGGCTGTGGATTGGTCTCCTTGAAGAAATGCGGAGGCCTAGCTAGCTGCAACACAAAGAATACTAGTGTCCACATTAACAATTTTGTAAAAAAATATATTAACTACAGTAAGTGCAAATGTCCAGTACAGTTGCATGGAGACAGGAAGTAAAGGGTAACACCATATAAATGTAATATATTACCGTGACAGTCAAGGATCCAGGTCCATCATCAGGCAAGTTCGCCTTCAAAGCTATGATATCTGACCATTGGATCTCTATTTTACTCTTGAGACCACTCTCAAGAATTTCCCAGACGAGTTTATGCTTAGCGAAGTAGCATTTTGCTACCAAATCACCTTCAAATCTTGACGCATACTGCCACCAGAAATGGTTTTAGCAACTTGCATAAAAATTAAAACATTTGAAAACAGTAGACACATATTTCATTGCTGATACCTCCCACTGCCCAATCCTAAGAAGCACAGCTGGAAAATTCGAGGCCTTTAGCTTGTCAGTTGTAGCAGAAGTAGCAGTGCCCTTGACATCCTTCTTGTCTCTCAAACTAAGATTTCCACTTGGTGCAGAAGTTACAGAAGAAACATTACCTTGGGTGAGCCTCATTTGTATCAAATCCAACAATGAGGGGCTTTTCCTCAGACGCAAGCCCAGAGGGCTTGGCTCATCAAGTGGATTGTATTGTGAAGGTGGGATAGGAAACTCATTTTCTCCACTGCTAAACTGCTCAATGACAGAGAAGGTCATGTAAGAAAACAATATCTATTGCCACCACACAAAAGTAAAAACACATAAATCATTAAATATTCAAGGAACTACCAAAATAAATAAACTCAAAGCTAAATATGCGAGATGGGAGGTGAAACTTTTATCATCAAATTTATCATTTTGTTTGTTAAACTTTTAACATTCAGTACAATAATATTTTAAGTGGTACAAATTCACTACTTAAATCTTTAGTATTTACTTTTCTTTTTTTCTTCTCTTTTTTGTAAGAACAAAATTTTCAAGTTCTCAATTTACAATTTTATCCAACATCCCTTTAGGTCATATTTGTTTGGGCGGAAAAAGTAAAAACACATAAATCATTAAATATTCAAGGAACTACCAAAATAAATAAACTCAAAGCTAAATATGCGAGATGGAAGGTGAAACTTTTATCATCAAATTTATCATTTTGTTTGTTAAACTTTTAACATTCAGTACAATAATATTTTAGGTGGTACAAATTCACTACTTAAATCTTTAGTATTTAATTTTCTTTTTTTCTTTTCTTTTTTGTAAGAACAAAATTTTCAAGTTCTCAATTTACAATTTTATCCAACATCCCTTTAGTTTCCATAGTGGCTAATGACTAATAAAGTACAATAATGTTATCCATGTCCACTTAATTACTTCAATTACCATTCTCCGCCACTTCATCAACAAACCAGCCATCTTTCTCTGCCTGCTAACCAAGTTAGACCATTGTAAGGCAAGCTTAAATAGAAATCACAATCAAGACACAGCACAACAAAAGCCCTTTGTTCTTGCCAAGCAAGATTTAGCAGTAACAAACATATAGGCCTGACATGATGTAAGGTCTTTCAATCCTTTTCAGATCCCTAAAAACTAACATCAAACTCAACATGTAAGATTACAACCAAACTCATGTGAAGATTCCTATAGTTAAATCAATCCTTCACCTACCTAAATACCAAAAACCAGACACCTTAACAACATTGAACTACTTGTCGAACTAAGGCAGTAAAACAAATCATACTACTCGAGCATTCGTGTTCAACTCATTAAAATCTTCTTTATTTTAAAGCTATTTCGACACCAACTTGGCTCGATAAACTTATATGCATCATAAAAAACAATGCTACTTGAGTTCGGCTGGATTAAAGCCGATTACTGATCTACTCAAAAATAAACAAGCCAAGCTTGAACATCATATTACTTAGGTCTGATATCAAAAATTACAAATTCAAGAAATCAATTCCATGCTACCATTACCAATTGACGAAAAAACAAAAAAAACAATAAATTCAAAGTCTAGTGCTTTAAATTGAGCTGAATCCCCAGTAACCAAACAGAACACAAAATTCAAAATTCACTTTCTGTCTAATTTTCTTGGCCATATCACTTTCTCGCCGATCAAACAGGAAATTAATTAGCAAAAGAAGATTCAAACCTCATCGAAAGGAGAGGAGGACTTGGATCGCTTGTTGAGAGGGCCGTGTTCTTCTTCCAATGAGTCCTCGATCTCCGACTTCACCGGGAACTTGTCACGAATCGCCGCCGCCTCTGGGTCCGCCCGACCCGATCTCATCAACTTAACCATCGAGTTGGAGTTGGAATTGGAATTGGAATTCCCAAATAACCAAAATGAAAAGAAAAAAAAGGAGAGAATCGAAAATCACGAGAATTTCGAGTCTGATTGATTGGGAATTCGAAATTCCAAACCCTAGGATTCCGATCTAGGGCTTGATTGGGCGTGCGGGGTTTCGGTCGAAGATTCCGGAGAAAGGGGAGAAAAAAAAATCAAGAGAATCTGAAAACCTTAGGGAAAATATTTTTAAGGGAATAAAACAGATGTGTGTATATTTTTAGAAGTGTCTATATACGTATATATATACATACGTATTTTATATGTGTCTGTGTTCAACGCTGATGTGCCAAGAAAATTGACTACATTATTGCAATGGCTATACTACCCTCCTACTAGATAAGCAAGCAATGAATATGTTATTAAAAATAAACGGATAAATTGCATCGGCAGTGCTAGGGCCTCGACAATTTTTTCTTTTTTTCTTTTTTTCTTTTTTCTTTTTTTGTTGAGTTGTGCTTTTCTTTTTATTATTTATCACGGGACTTTATAAATTAAAAAAAAATTCATTATAAATATACTAAAGTAATTTAATATTTTATCTTATGATATACATAAAATTTATAAATTAATTTTTATGTTTATAATTTTTTAAATTATTAGTTTAAAAATTTTAAAATATATGTATATATATATATTTATTTAGTGAATTTTGATAATTTGTCATATAAATAAATAAATAAATAAGAAGAAGAAGTTAAACCTAATTAAATGAGGTTACATTAGTTATGATATATTTTTTCTTGTTATAAAAATATACAAATTTAAAAGTTATAATTAAAACAAATATACAATTTTATTATTAAATGTGAAGTGAAGTGATATTTAACAATAATTGATATTATGTTTCTGTTATTAATCCAATAATTTAAGTTACATTTCTTTTGCTTTTAATTTCATAACTAAAAATACAATATGAATATAATACGTATACGGATTTCTAATTTTTAAGAATAAGAAAGTTTTAGAATATTTTTAACATTTCATCATTTTCTTTTAATTTTTTTTTTCAATTTGATTTTAAATTTGAATAAAAAATTTGATTTGATATGCATTACTTTAACTTTTTTAAAAAAAATTTATCAATTTTTAAAAGAATTTTCATTCTTGTCCTACTTTTTTTTTCTTTTCATTAATTTTTATAGGGAAAATCAATCAGTGTGTTTGGTTTGAGTTTTCTAGATTAAATTTTTTGAAAACTAAGTTTTTTGATTTTCGTGTTTTTTTTTTGTTTTTAGTGAATATTTTTAAAATTTTAAATATTTTTTTTACTTTTTTAGATGCACCTTACTTAGATATATCTAAAAGGTAAAAAATTTATGAAAAAATATTTTAAAAAATTAATAAATACATAAAAATACAAAAAATGTACTGAATTCTTGTATTTTTTGTATTTAGTGAATTTTTAAAAGGTTTTTTTTACAATTTTTTTACTTTTTAAGTGTATTTATGTTAGGTGTGTCTAAAAAGTAAAAAAATTGTTTAAAATATTAAAAAATTCAGTAAAAACAAAAAGACACGGAAAATAAGATAATAGAATTTTCTGAAAAGTGATTTTTGAAAAATGAAAACAAGCAAATAATTTCCAACGCTTCATCTTTTTAAACTTTTATCAAATTATAATTCGATAAAAAAAAATTAAGGGTTGAAGATTCTATTAATTGGAATTTTAGTGAAATAACATCTTGAAATAGTGAAAGTTTGAGTATATGGTTGGTTAAAATATATAATTTGATTAATTTTCTTCTCATATTTGTATAAAAATTGACACTTATGACCACATCATTATAAGTCAGATTATGGAAAGGTTTTTGAGGTGTCAAATATTTTTCATTTGTAAATATCCTATCTATTAAAAAAAAGGAAAAAAATAAAAGACAAAGGAAAAAAATATGCAATTTTTGGATATATGTTTATCAATTTTGTTTTGTGGACATAAACAACTGATGTTTTAATTTAAAGAATTAAAAAGTATAAAAAAAATTAGATTGGATTTTTTAGGGATAAAAGAAGCCATCTAACTCCTCTATATATTATTTTAAGATGGAATATTTTAATCACATAAAAAATAGAAATTATATTTAGAAATTATCTCTATATATTATGTTATTAGCGGTAATAAATTAATTAATATATATGAAAAGTTATACTAAGCTTTCATTTTTAATTAATTGAATTATGATTAACAAATTAACAAATAACAGTAATGGTATAATAGGATATAAAGAGGATAAAAATAAAAAATACAATGATATTTAAAAGTTTTAAATTTACCTAGTTATACAAAACTCTAATGTTATAGTACAATATTGAATTCTCAATAAATTTTCACATTATCTATAAAATAAAATGACAATAAAAAATGAAAAAATCGATACCCATTTTTTTACTTCAATTTTTTCATTGAAAAAATCAAAAATCCGATCAAAATCTTTGGCACATAATGGGTATAGATACTTCGATTGCAACTTTCATCTCCAATAATTTTTCTCCACCATGTAGACCTATAAACAAACACATAAATCTCACTAAAACCGAAACCAAAACTAAACCAACAACAGAGAAAGAGAATCACACAGAGAAAAAATAAAATTAAAAAGCAAATAAATTTATGGAGTGGTAGAATATTATCCCCCAACAACTTAGACTTTGCGTCGCCTAATCCATCTGCTCCTCCGGCAGTGCCTACGAAGTCTAGGAGTTGGGATGACTAATCAGATTATTCTTTAAATAAGACTTGAAAATTGATTAATTTGTCCCATTAATTGATTTAAAATTTTGATAGATATACATCAAAAAAATAGATAATTATATTATTAAATCATAATTCAAATTTAGATATTGTCATATCTTTTTGAGATCTATATCTAAATTCTCATCTTCCTTATTTTTGTGTGGTTTCTATTTTTTTTTTTTTTCAATTTATTTAAGATGGGGTTGTGGGTTTATATTTTTTTAATCTAATTTATCTATGGTTTCTGTTTGTTTTTAATTATTATTATTTAGGTAAGTTATGATGAAAGTTAGATATGTGATACACATGTGAGTTTTATTGATTTAATGTATGATGGTGTGAGATATATTATATTTGTTTAGATAGTCTTTAAAAAAATTTAAAATTTAAAATTGGATATTGAGAGGCAAAAGAAATATTTTAACTGAATAGATAAAAATCATATTTATTAATTTTATTTGTTTGTATATCTGATTTTTAATTATTTTTTTTTGTGTTATAATATAATATATAAGATATATATAGATATCTGCAATTCTTATGAAAAATATTATTTGATTTTTTTAGAGAGAGAAAAGGAAGGCAAGTTTTAATATTTTCTTTTGGAAATCAATGAGAGAAATTAGAATGGAGAGAATATGAAATATTTTTTTTATCTTTCTATTTGAAATCCATAAATTAAGGGATAATTATTATTTCCAAAATAATTAAATAGGTATAGGAGAAGTTGAAAAAGGAAAATAATTATTATTTTCAAAATAATTAAATAGGTATGGGAGTAGTTGACAGGTTGTCTATGGAAAGTCAACAAGGTTTAGGAGAAGTCAATAAATGTTGAGTTTTTATTTTTTTTAAATCAAAAAATTAAGAAATTAATATTGAGACATTAGAGCTCCCACAAGGCTTGTGAGTTAAAAACTCCATTTTCTTTATATAATAACTAGCATATCACCCGTGCTATACACGGATTGTGTTTACAATTATCTATATGTGTGAATTGTGATTTTTAAATGTTTTTTTTTTTAATGTCTTCTTTTTTTTCCTTTTTTATATTATATTAAAGTTTAATATTTTGATAATAATCATATTGTAGACACCCCATTTTTGACCGACCTTAAGACTCAGACATCACCGATTGAGCGCTCGGTGACGTTGCATATCGTGCTCGTTCAGAAGTCTCAGAGTCGCGGCCGTGAGCCCTGCCTCCGGATTTCCGAACCCTCTTCTGTGCCTTGCCTCGATTTGCGAACCAGACTCGGTTTTCTCTGTTTCTTTACCGAAGGGAGGGAGAGGTCTGGTAGATCATCTCTCAGTGCCCGTAGGCTACGTTTCGTGGTCGTATGCCATTTTGCCCGTTTGGAGTCCGGTTTCCGGTTTTTCGGAATCGTTGGTCGTGTGCCTCTGTTCGGGACCGCTTAACCACCTCCGTTTGCCCCGATTTTCGGCATACATCTTATTTGCTCCCTTTTGAGGGACACTGTGGTCCGAGAGACCGGCTTCGTGGTCGAACACCACTCCCGGTGCCTAACAGCCAGTTTTCGGGGCCTCGGGCTGCGCGTTTCGGCCCCCGAACCTTCATTTTGCATCGGTTTGGGCTCATTTTTGGTGGAGACCTTATTTTCACTGTTAGAAAGCTTGTAGGAGGGTGGGAGGCCAGCAATTTTGCTGAAAAGCCAACTTCTTTTTGGTCAAAAGTGGTTCAGCATGAATTCGGGAAGGAGAAAAATCTGCGCGGCTTCACCGAAACGGGCGTAACTCTTTGCACAAGAGGAATTAAGATATGAGGCCACCACCATTGAAAAGCTTACTTCATGGGCTTCATTTTGCACTCAAGAATCTCCCAAGTCCAAGTCCGGGGGGGGAGATGTGGTTGGTTGAAGTCCGGTTGGACCGAATCTGTGCGGCTTCACGGAAAAGGGCATAACTTTTTCTACAGGAGGAATTTTAATGCAAGGTTTGCGCCATTGGAAAGCTAACTTCCGGGGCTTCAATCTAGGGGGTGGCAGTCACTTTTCCCCTTTGACCTAGCCGGCCGGCCACTTTTTCTGGCCGGCCGGCCATTACCTGGTGGATGACTTTTTTTCCCCTTTTAAACTGGAACGGTCATTTTTGCCCCTGTGAGTGCATTCCAGCCATGTATTGTTGTTTTTACACTTCACCCATGTCCGAGGTTTTGGCACTTTTAGAGGGAAACTTGACTCATTTTTCCCTCCATTTCCCCCCCCCTTTTTCCCCCTCCTTGGCTTATATATCAGCAGCTTCAGCTGCTGGTTTAGGGTTGGAACATTTTGCCTCAAACCCTTGCCTTGTCTCTCTCTTTCTCCATACTTCCAAGCTCCAATCCTTCAAACCTTACACCATTTTACACTACACCACCTAGCACACCCTTCCATCCTTCATTCCAGCAGCTGGAGGTCATTCTTCAAGGCCTAAGAGTGCTGTAACTCAAGCCAAAAGGGTGCCAAAGTCA